AAGCCCTACAATAATGCGTCAGATAACGACCTTTAAAGCGCCGGGACGGTGCCTCCGCCGCTGGGGGTCATGCTACGTGCCAGTGCATGGAGCTGAAGAAGACAAAGCAGATAGACTGGCGCGAGCTAATCTGTGTGGCTGGCGCTGCTCGCCTAACCGGCTGTAAATACATCGGTGACTACCCCTCTGAGTCAGTCTCCTTCCCGTAACAATATGTTTGGACCATGATAAATTTTGTGTCAGAAGGATACCAAGGTACTTATGTTCAAACACCCTGCACAAACAAACATTGTTGAAACCGTAGACAAAAGCCAACGGGCATGAATGTCTCGTAAATGACCGTCTTGAAGAAGTTATTATTCATTTGCCAAAATTTGGACCAGCAACGAAAATGAGAAAATAAATTGTCAAGAACAGCATGATCCAGCGGAGATTTAACAGTATAATACAGGATGCAGTCATCGGCAAGACAGAATTGTGTAAAGGTACATAGGTCATTAATATAAAGCAGGAATAAGGGGGGTTTTAGCACAGAACCCTGGGGAACTCCTGATGAATTTGTATCCTGGCCACATGTTCGGTCACGTAAAATGTTGCATTTTGGACATGCCGAGTGCTGCCTTTGTCAACATCACAACACTGTGACAATAAGATATTGCTCGAAAAGTACACATATACTGTGGGAATTGAGGCTGGCCCGCTGCCTTTGCGCGGGCTTTGCCGCCTCTTTTCTCATGTCCCGACATGCCTACCCTCCTTTGCTGTCTGCCGCGCTGGGAAGGGCGGAGTGACGTTTAACTCCTTCACCCGGTAGCGGATGTTGACTGTGGCGCCGCGCGGGGAGCCTCCCGAGAGGTTTTCGCGCGCTGCGTCGGGAGCAGGGAGTACAGTCCGGGACTTCAAACGGTGAGCCACGCATTCTTTTCCGTTCGTCGAGTCCCGTCGCTCGGGGCTCGTCGGACTTCGCTGACGGCGCCTCGCGCCCGATGCGAACGCTCACCTTTTGTTGCCCCGCTGCGTACTCACGGCCGAAGGGCAGTACGGTGTCCTAGTGCGTGGCCTAGCTACGCCGACCCGTCTCCCTTCGAAGCTAACGCGAGCGCCTTTGCCCTCGCTCGAGCAACCGGGCCCTTTGTTCCGGTGTCTCCGTGGATTACCTTTACCGCGGAGACGTGCTCGTGGCACCCTGTGTAGTACTTTGTGCCCGTGGCGTGGATAAGCCTACTTGCTTTCCCGCCGCGCCTTTTTTGCAACGGGCTGTACTGCGTTTGGTGTTGCCACAATAAAGTGTTGCGACTTGAGCAGTATCGTGTTCTCGCCACGGCGACGGTTAACGCGTGCCCTGCGGCTCGCTAAGACCGGACCCACGCTGGTGGCCGTACTCCTTCGGGATACGTGTACACCACACTGGCGCCCAACGCGGTATCAAAAGCTCTAGCTTTTGACTGCTCTTAGCGAGTCAGTTCGCCTGTGCGATTCGGGCTCGTCGCAACATGGCTGCTTCGCGGGACTTTTGTCCGCTGTCCCTTTTTAGCGGATGCCGCGTTGCACAAGGAGGCCATTGCCTCTATTGACGGGAACCCTTCTGCACCCGTCTGTGTCGGCACCCCCTATTGCGGTGACGACACGAGGCGCCTAGCCGCTCCCTTTGGAGATGGCGCGTCGCTTCGGAATGGGCCTCTTGCCCTACCCGAACGTTGTCTGCTTCGTGGCATGCCGCGTTGCACAAAGAGGCCACCGCCTCTATCGACGGGCGCCCTTCGGCGCTCGCCTGTGTCGTCACCCCTTTTTGTGGTGAATACACTCCTACGTGGTAGCTGACGCGCTATCTCGTGCCCCTTGTTGTCTGCCGAGAACCTGGATTTCGGTGCGACGGCCGCTCGCGGTGCCTTAGCACATGCAAGCGTCGCGGGCGAAACAGCAGCTTCGCCGCCATTCGGCGAGAAGGGTGAGTCCCCATGCGGACAAACCTTGGCTGCTAACCAGGTAAGCGGCGCACCGCGAAGCGGCCGAGCGGGGGAGCTTTCCAAAGGCCACGAGGCCGAGAGCGAACCCGTAACGCCGACTCACGCGGCGGTTGCTGCGGTCCTGAGTGGGCGCGATACCAGACTCCCCGATTTGGGAGAATGGGAATTGCTTTCGGCAGCGAAGAGCTACTGAAGGCTCAGCCGAGTGATCCGTTTCGAGTCTCGGAGGGACGGAGCGCCGTATACGCTGCTTGCTTTGCGGCGGGCGCCGTTAAACCGTCTTGACGAGGCGCAGAGCGCCGTTACGCTGCTTGTTCTGCGGCGGGCGCGATTAGGGGGCTGAAACAGCGTGTGTCGCTGAGTCCCCGGCGGATTCATTTTGCTGGACCATGACGGGCTCCTGCTGAAATATATAGCCACTGACGACGAGTCCATAGACCCGTTTAAGGTGGTTATGCCCAAAAGTCTGAGAGCCGCACTGTTGCGATCCTCTCACGACGAACCCATGGCCGGTCACCTGAGTGGCTCGAAAGTTTTTGCAAACTGAGCACTGTTGTGACCTGGCCCGGCACGAAGCGTGGCTTTTATCGATATTCCGTGCCTGCCACGTCTGACAAACGGTTGAGCCAAGGGTTGGAAAGCCGCCCGGTCTTATGAACCGATTGTCAGTGAGCGTCCGTGGCGCGTACTAGCTGAAAGATCCCCTTTGGGAAAACTCAGCCGTGCCCACATCGCAGACCTGAAGCCCTTTGTCATGGTCTGACGAGCTTGCGCCAGTGCCCTGCGGCACTTCGCGCAAGCAACGGGCACACCCGGAGCGGCGGACCGCATTCGGACCCCGCACCGGTATAATCTGAGGAAGCGGTCACCTTTGTGATTTCGCGTCGGACGGCGGACTTCTCCGCAACCGAAGGCCCTCAGTTTACTGTCTAGCCTCAGTATACGTTAGCTTCTTTACGGCCTTTTCTCGTAAAGAAGTTGACCCCGCTCTGTCTGCTGCCAGTGTTTCTTTTTTTTTTTGAAGTGTTCATGTGTATTTTGTTTCTTTTGTCTAATATTAAGTGATACTTGTATTTTATGTTTTTTGTCAGATGTTGAGTGTCGTTTTGCTCTGTTTTTACTTTTTTTTCCGTGTTCGTTTCGTCTATCGCGAAGGGAGCTGTGTGTGACCTTGTGTGTCGGTGCTTGCCGGGGGAGAGAGAGATGAAGGACGCTTTGCGCCTACGCTCGCGCAGCTGTCGGCGGTGTGTGTGCGTGCTTCTGTGCGTGTGAAAGTGCGTGACGCTTCGGTGCGAGCCCGCGAAGAGTGCGTCATGGCTTCCCCCATCGATGCGGATGCTGGACGTGCTGGGGGGTCATTGACCCACTGACGTCAGACCGTCTGGCTGTGCTCTGCTCTCGGCCGTCGCCGAAGAAGCCACGCTGCCTTTTCCACCATGGCTCCTGCGCGAGGCCAGCTGAAAGCAGCTATATGCTGCCCGCCAACGCCAGGGCGCCTCGCAGCCATTTTTGGTTCGGCCTCCCTGACCACCGGAGAGGCCCGGCTTCCCGCAACATCCAGCTCCGTCATCGAGCCAGAAATGCGGGTCCTCCGAACAACCGAAGCGGCTTTCGTCGGACTCGCGGCTTATCAAGAGCAGGAACAAGCCATCAGTGAGCCCCCCCTTCCGGTACCTCTGACCTCGCACTCGGGCATCGCACCCAGCGGACACTGTCACGCTTTTACCGCACCTCCGCGCACTGGACGCTATCCCCCTTTAGCACCACGAACACTAGTGCCACGTTTCTGTGCTCCCTTCCGCAGTTATCTTTATAGTGTCATGTGTTTACTTCGTTATTTATGGTTTGTTTCTCATTTGTGATCTTTTTTTTAGCAGCAGTAACAGGGCTGGACTGAGGTTAGCTGTCGCTCATAGCAGTGTCATTTTAACTGCATGGGTGACGTCCGGTTGCCTTTTGCAGACCGGTAAAGGGCAAATTTAGGAGAGGGGGATGTGGGAATTGAGGCTGGCCCGCTGCCTTTGCGCGGGCTTTGCCGCCTCTTTTCTCATGTCCCGACATGCCTACCCTCCTTTGCTGTCTGCCGCGCTGGGAAGGGCGGAGTGACGTTTAACTCCCTCACCCGGTAGCGGATGTTGACTGTGGCGCCGCGCGGGGAGCCTTCCGAGAGGTTTTCGCGCGCTGCGTCGGGAGCAGGGAGCACAGTCCGGGACTTCAAACGGTGAGCCACGCATTCTTTTCCGTCCGTCGAGTCCCGTCGCTCGAGGCTCGTCGGACTTCGCCGACGGCGCCTCCACCCGAGGCGAACGCTCACCTTTTGTTGCCCCGCTGCGTACTCACGGCTGAAGGGCAGTACGGTGTCCTAGTGCGTGGCCTAGCTACGCCGACCCGTCTCCCTTCGAAGCCAACGCGAGCGCCTTTGCCCTCGCTCGAGCAACCGGGCCCCTTTGTCCCGGTGTCTCCGTGGATCACCTTTACCGCGGAGACGTGCTCGTGGCACCCCTGTGTAGTACTTTGTGCCCGTGGCGTGGATAAGCCTACTTGCTTTCCCGCCGCGCCTATTTGCAACGGGCTGTACTGCGTTTGGTGTTGCCACAATAAAGTGTTGCGACTTGAGCAGTATCGTGTTTCCCGCCACGGCGACGGTTAACGCGTGCCCTGCGGCTCGCTAAGACCGGACCCACGCTGGTGGCCGTACTCCTTCGGGATACGTGTACACCACAATACTGAAAATGACTGTAACAGCTTCCTGATTTATCGCCAACATTTCCTAATGCATTCAATGGTTGAGGATTCATTACGAAATTGTTTAGCACAGTAGTAGTTAGCGGGTATGTATAATACAAAGCAGCATCAATTCAGCAAGTACAATATAAGCAGGAATTTGTGGTACAAATCCAATATCATCATTGCTAGCAGCAACGGTGTATTAATTGGGAAGACATTTAATTACCCATAAAGGTTATTCTCAATTCATTCACCCAGCCTGCCAGCTGGCTTCCATGAAAAGCCGTGTGTTCGGAGAAAGCTCACCATCATGGGCGGGTGTCTCAGCGATGGCCGACAGGCACATGCAGGCCCTGTCTTTGGCTGAGTAATCACACTTGTGCAGCGTCTGCAGCCGGTTCATGTGCACCACCGTGGTCGTGACGGTGATGACGACGCAGAGGAGCACACAAGTCAGGCAGCAGCCACCCGCAAACTTCACCTGGACGAAGAGAATGCATTCACCTCAGATTACAGGAGCCATCCAGTTGAATGCCTCCAGCTGTGACCAAGCGTCATGATAACGTGATACGTCATCAGGAGAAGATTTTTTTCTGATGCTGACAGCACCAACGCTGCACGCCGACAGTCAGTTTTCACATTAGATGAGGCACCTAAGACTTTCGCCATAAAAGACATCTTTATTCCAAGATGCGCCCGTCGAGCCAGGCCCTTGCCTCCCAATCACTACCTTTTACTGATCCTTGAAGTTAGAGCTAAACAAGGCTCTTGCAATGGCCCTTGGTGTGGTACAGAATCAAAATTTGATTATGAATATCTTCAAACACATGCAAATTATGCAACTTCTAAATATCAGCATGCCATAAATTGTCACAGATTACAATCTCCCAATATAAACAACCACCTTATAGTCCATATTAAAAACTTCACTCACTGTGATATCACTTTAGCTGCTGCAAAGTATTTCTGCCTCAATGCAGAACAGGATCAAAACGCTTGAGGGGCTAATTAGTTCTTTATTTTATTTATTTATTTACCCTCAGGGTCAATAGACATTGCAGAGGGAAGTGGTTATATCTACAAAAAATCTGTTCACGTTATACATAATAGAATAAATTTGCACAATATGTAAAGATTATTAGTATAAATAACACAATAAGTAACCGAACAATATTTACATTGGTAATTGACAGAAGACAACAAAGAAAATAAATAATAGTAATGCAATGAAGCAGTGTAGAATGAAATACGGCCATACATCATGTAAATTACATCATGTAAAATGGCACATAGCATGTACAACATGTAGAAAAAAAACTATGGTGTCACTGGTAAACCATGTTTGATTAAATCAGAGTCACTAATGCAGGAAATTCCATTCTTTTGATGTACGCAGTATAAATGAATGCAAGAATGCCTGAAATTTCGACCATATGTATATGGTCTAGTCAATTGGAAATGTACTGCGAAGGGCTGATTAGTGTAGATGATGGTGAAGCTTATGAAAAAGAACTAGACGATGTGTTTTACGCCAAGAGACGAGAGTCTCTAAATTAAGATAATTTCTCATTGCTGTTATGCTGGCAGTGCGACTGTACTGAGAGCAAATAAAACGAGTAGAATTGTTCAAAATCATTTCTAGTGCGTGTGACATATCTTCATGAAAAAGATCCAATACTGACGCAGCATATTCAAGTTTAGATCTGATTAGTGTTTCGTATAAGAGAAGCTTTAGGAAGGAGGTTATCTTAAAAAATTTTGACGAATCTAACCGAGCATGCTATTTGCTTTGTTCATAATGTGTGTGACATGATCATTCCAGGTAAGGTTCGATGCAATATGCACACCAAGATAATTGTACGATGACACAGGTTCTAATGGTTCATTAATGAGTCTGTAAACAGGTTGAATTGTTTTCGATCAGGTTACTCACATAAATTTACATTTAGCTATGTTCATTTCACTTGCCACTCCTTGCACCATAATGAGACTGCGATAAGGTCACATCGAAGAAGAGTTATGTCATTGTCACAAGTTACTTTCCGAAAAATTATGTTATCGTCTGCAAAAAAGTGAATATTTGAGGAAACGCAAGAATGATTGATTTTATTTGTGGGGTTTAACGTCCCAAAACCACCATATAAGTATGAGAGACGCCGTAGTGGAGGACTCCGGAAATTTTTACCACCTGGGGTTCTTTATAGTGCACCCAAATCTGAGCACACGAGCCTACAACATTTCCTCCTCCATCGAAAATGCAGCCGCCGCAGCCGGGATTCTATCCCGCAACCTGCGGGTCAGCAGTCGAGTAACTTAGCCACTAGACCACCGCAGCGGGGCGTTTATCTAAATTGGAAAAAAAAGAAGACCAAGCACAAAACCCTGTGAAACACCAGATTTTACAGTCCTGAAATAGCGTTATTTGCAGAAACGAATCGATATGGGTAAAAAGAAAACCTTCAATACAGGTCGAAAGTTTAGAGTCAATGTTAAGTATACTAAGCTTGTAAAGAAGTATTTTATGGTGAACTTTGTCGAATGCTTTGAAAAAAATCGAAGAAAATGCACTCGGCAAATGAAGAGTTGTCTAGAATGATACGTAATTTATGCGTAAAAGACGTTAGTTGTGTTTCGCAGGGGTAGGTTTTGCGAAAGCCATGTTGTGATGAATAAACAAATTGGATTCAAGGAAGTTTAGGATATGTGAGAACAGGATATGTTCGAGAATTTCGCATGGTGTACTAATAAGCGAGATTGGCCGGTAGTTAAAAGGGGAATGCCTGTTACCCGATTTATAGAACCTTCCCTGTTTTCCAGTCTGATGGAAGAGAACCAGCATCAATGTCTGAATATCATTGTCAGTAGGACAGATGAATAGGTCATTGTGATATTTAAAAACATTGCTTCAATTCGATTGGATCAAGGGGCGGAAAATGATTTTAATGACTTAATGTTTTATCACGCCGTCGAAGTTTATTTGTACCGGAAGCAAGGTTGTGTAGTTGTAAGTACACAATGCTGGCATGCTGTGTTTGTGCTGAAAGAGAAATTATTTGAAAATACTTCATCACAGCATCCGTTGTCAGAGATGGTGTTGTCTGAACGATACAGTCAAGGTGATATGATCATTGCTTGGTTTATTCATGCGCCAAATTTTTTTTTGTTCGCTAAAGAGCGTCAATGGCAGAGTGTTTCCTCAGAAAGTTATATTCTGCTTCTTTTACTGTGTTTATGTATTGGTTTACTGCTGTCGTGTAATCTGTCCAGCGATGAGGCATAGGTGAATTCTTAGCAGACTTGAAAAGATGCCTTTTCTTATTTGATAAACGCGTTAAGTGCTTGTTGTACCACGAAGAATTCAAATCCGTACTGATAGTGGTAACAGGTACACATTTAGCTATTAATTAATTAATTAATGTTGCTACAAACCTGCTCCAATTGGTCTCAACATTATGACTCTCAAATCCGATCATGAAGTTATCAAGAAAGACTGCAAGCTCATCGTTTATAGCAGCACATTTAGCATTTTAGTAATCGTTAATACTTTCCTTTTGTTTAGAAAGCGTAGGTCGAACTGTATTCATTTTGAATAAAAGTCGGGCATGGCCACTAAGACCAGGCAAGCGCGCAATGTCCGGATCAGTACGAGTTGTAAGGTCCACAATGTTTGATAATGACTCTGTTATCCGAATTGGTTACTTGACAAGCTGGGCTAATGAGAAAAGAGAACATAAGTCTAGAAAATCTTTAGTTAAGGAGCAAAATGGAAGAATGAAGAGAAGATCGCACGACCGGTTAAAAATCACCGAGCAATAGAATGGGAAGATGGCTGTGGTTAGAAGTGACAAAATTTGGCATATCGTGTAATTCACTGTGTTAGGCTAGGAGGACGATAGCAAATACCAAGAACAATTAAGAGACCGTCACCCAGACGGTCTCTAAAGTGCTTGTTACATTGATAGCGTGAGAAGGTAGATCTTTACGTATAACACACCACCACCTTGACGATATATTTAAAAGTGTCGTGCTGTTTTGCCATTTTCAATAACAGAGTGAAGAAATGTTTCTGTTAACGCTACAATATCAGCGTTAATTACGGATTATAAGAGTTCACATTTTGCTATGAATGTGGCAAAAACAAAGGACACTTTTCGTTGAGTATCCCCATATGTAGCAGTTTGTGTGTAGCAGTTTGTGATTGACTGATTACTATTGGCTGCAAGTGACACATGTATGTGCCCATGGTGTGCTTGAGCATTAATCATGGGTATTGTGGGAAGCTCATTTAAGGGTCGTATGTGCACTGTTTCTTGTTGATTACAAATTTTTTGTATCGTAACCAATAGCTTAATTCACCGGGTTGATTTTTTGCAAAGATAGTAAGCTGTTTGCAAGCCTGCCATGTGGCAGGCGAAAAATCCTCACTAACTGTAATGTTTTGCTCTTTCAGTTTTTTTGACGAGCTGAAAGAACTGCATCTTTAGTACTGAGGTTTAAGAGTTCCCCTTAATAGGTAGGCTCTAATGGATCAGCTCTTCCCATTAAGGGGAAACTCTTCCCTCAAGCGCAGCGCACGGTCTCCTTTTGCCTACCGCGGCGACAATTTTGGGTAGCCCGACACACGTCGAGAACCGGCCAGCACAGCATCAGTGGTGCAATTTTATACGCGTTCCAAATCCGGACGGAGGCGTTCCGTTCCATCAAGTCACTCGTGATTGGCTCATCTGAGTCGTGGGGAATGCCGTGACGTTCTATGTCACGTGAGCAAAGGTGTCATATATCTGTTTTCGTCCGTTTTTTGGATGGAGGCTAAGCAACAGTCGGAGAGACCGTCTAAAACAAAACGGATGGATTGAAATGGCTGCGATGTGGCATGGATTGAATTGAAACATAAACAATTCGCACCTTTTCAGTATTCGGATATATTGAGAACATGATGCCACAGCGGGCTTCATGCACTTACACCGTAGCTCAATCCCCCGTCCGTTGTCGTAGCCACCCCATCTGTCTGTGTCGTCATAGACAGGCAGACAGAAGACAGACAGACGGACAGATGGAGGATTGATGGTTTACCGATAAAACCCTTTCAAGCTTCGTCCCACTCATCATCATTCACTTCGTGGTGTTACGAGCGTGCTGGTATCACTTGCTGAGACACTGGCCGCGTCCTTCGCAGACATCAGATGCGTCCGTCAGAGACACGGGGCACGTCTAACAGAGACGCTGGACGCCTCACATTTCTATTGCGCTCAATTGGTCCTCAAGCCGACATTAAAATTGTAACGCAGGCCTTCATTTCCCACATTGGCTGTTCACTTTCTCTCGTCTTCGCGACCGATATGGACCACCGACTTCTTGACGCAACGATTGGAACGCCTCGGTACGGATATGGAACGCGTATAAAATTGCACCGCAGAACAAGATGTGGACTGTGCACAGTCTGGTTTCATTGTTCACAGTTCAAAGACTTGTTTGCGTTCT